AGGAGTGCAGGTCGACGTGCGCGCTCTGTGCCAGCTCGCTCGTTTCGACGAGCGGCGCAGGGCCATGCTGCGACGAGCTTGTCGCGCTGCGGAGAGGCGGCTGGAGCGCGCAGGCATCGCCGCGATCTTCGACTCCACGCTAGCACGCGCCATCTTTGCTGGAGACAGCCTCGCCCACGCGGGCAGCGTTGCCCCGCGCGAAGTGGTCTTCGGGCGGCAGCCGCCCATGCTGCCGCCGTTCGAAGCAGACAAAGAGGCGAGGGATGCTGCGACTGCGTCGCCGGCGGCGAGCCCCCCGGCCAGGAAGTGCAGCCCCGGTCGGCTGCAGCGGCGCGTGCGAGAGAGAGCGCTGCAACGCGTGATCGAAGCCGCATCGATTGCGCGCGCCAACCGCGCCATCAGGACCCGCGGCGCGGCGCCGACCCCCCGCTTCAACGCCGGCGACCAGCCCGGGGCCCGCAGGGCGCCAAGCACCCAGGATGCATCGGGCCGGGCGGGCCCCAGAACAGTCACGGCCGTTGGCCCAGCTCGAGGCAAGATGGCGGTCGAGCACCGGCGAGCAGAAAAGGCCCGCGGATTTCTGCGAGACGCCCAGCCCTTCATCTGCGCCATGTTCGAAGAGGTGGGCACTGGCATGGCGGCGGCAGCTTGGCCTGGGACCCCGCAGAGAATTGCGCGGCGCACGTGGCGCCAGGCTCCGGCGCCAGGATTTTTCGGCCACTGAGAGGACGCCGAGGGCGCGCAGCTCACCGACGAGCAGGCGCGACAACGCTCAGACGACCTCGAAGCCCTTTTCCATTTGTCCCTCATATGCTTTTGCAGCAACCACACGTTCGCGCTGCGCCACTCACTCGCGGACAGGACCAGCCTGACCATTTGGCGGTTCCCTCGGGACCCCGCCGACGACCTGCAGATCCAATTGAACGGCGTCGCGCGCGACGCCAACCGGCTCATCGGCGAGCATCCGAAGGAAGCTCGCATCTTCCATTTAATCTTGGGTGATGCGTCGTCAACGGCGCCAGACGCCGGACAGGGCCTGGACGGAACGTTCGACGACTGCGTCACAGACATTCTTGAGGACACCGCCAGCGCCACCGAAGGTGGATCACCGTCAGCCCCGTCAGTCAGACCAGAGGAGAGCGGCAGCGACGTCTCCAGCCACGTCCAACTGGCGACGTTCGCAGCTTGGCGCGAGGCCGAGAGGGCAGGATATCTGACCCACGAGCTGGAGGAGCTGGAGAGCGCCGACAGCCGACGCGAGATCCCCGCTGCTGTCGAGCACGCCTCGGCAGACCTAGGGGCCGCAAACCAGCGCCAGAGCTTCCACGCGCAGTGCCACTACTACTTGCGCGGGGCCCCCTTGGACGATAACGCCACGCTAGAGGAGGAGGAGGAGGAGGAGGAGGAGGAGGAGGAGGAGGAGGAGGAGGAGGAGGAGGAGGAGGAGGAGGAGGAGGAGGAGGGGGGAGGAGGAGGAGGAGGAGGAGGGGCAGGAGGAGGAGGAGTAGGAGGAGGAAGAGGGGGAGGAGGAGGAGGAGGAGGACGACGACGACAACGACGACGATGTGGTAGACGTTTGGACGCTGCTTCCGGCGACAGCGTCGCCGGCGCTCCACAGACGGCTGCGCCTGGCGACTGCGTCGCCAGCACCCCCAAGACAGCCGCGCTTGACATTCGCGCCGCCGCCGAGATCGCGGCCATCAAGCAAGACGCCAACCCGTCGAAACAGGAAGCGTCGCGGCCGGCAGCCATCCGCGAGGAGTTCGCCATCTGGGTCAACAGTAAATACCTGGAGACGCGAACGCTCAATCGCGCCCGAAACGCAATGGACTCCAGACGCGCGTTCAAACGGAAGCACCGGAAGGGATCAGGCGTCAAGTCAGCTGGGGTCATTCGGCGCGGCGCGGCGCTGAGTGGCTTCCGCGACGCGGGCGCCAGGGCCCTGGAGACGTTCGCTAGGGCAGCGAACGGGGCGCCCCAGTGCCCAGCGCCCCCAGCATCGGCGCGTCGCCCAGACTCGGCGTGCGTCGCCGCTGGCGTCGAGAAGGCCTTCCCGCGAGGTCTGGCCATTGCAGACATGCAGGAGCAGGGTGAAGCACCTCGAGTGATGAATGCCCCTGCCACCCGGCAGCGCAGCCATCCCCAGGCAGGCGCCTGGCCATGAGAGCTTCGGCGAGCGCGGCGCCGAACCTACCAGGTGGGGTCAGGGGCATGCGGTCAAGCGCGCGACGCCCGGCAGCCGTGCTGCTGGCGTCTTGGAGCTACTGCGCCACGTTGTCCAAGCGCGTTGACGATCTGAACATTGCTGGGCAAAGGGGGCACTTCGACCGTCTGATCAGCCACATCGAGAACGTTTTCGGCAAGATGAAGGGCGATTACGACTACTCCACCAAATGCGGAGCACACCAGCACCGCAGCGCCGATCGCACCGCGTCGCTCGATCAGGACGGTTTAATCCACGCCCTGATGCCGATGAGACACGTCGGCCTGGCCAAGGCCAAGGCTGACGAGCCGGCCTGAGATCTGTTACCCGATCCATGCGTCTCTGTCCATGGGAGCAGCGGCTTACGCCCTGCTCGCCCGGCGCCGCGTCGCAGCGCGCACTGCTGCCCTGCAGGGGGCCAAAAAACAGGCTTCTCATCCGTCGCGCGACGCAGCTCAATTCAGCGGTTCAGCCGCCGTCCGAGAATGGCTTGGTTGGCCACCTGCGGCGGTTGGCCGACCAGCTGCGCGCCGAGCAGACCGACGACTTGCGCGGGCACGACAGTCGGGGCACGCGGGCCGACTCCATGGCGGATCGCAGCATGGGCCGAGAGCTAATCTTCAGCGTGGTGGGTGGCCAGATAAGCCATGGCCAAGCCGCGGTCAGGTTCAGCGACGAGATGCTACGCAATGTCGCCCCGAGCTCACAGCATTGCTCATTCACGCAGAGATTGGGAGATGACTCGCGCGACTGCGCCTGCCACGAGCGCGCGCGGAGTCGGCCAGCGAATGCACGAGAACAACGTGGGATATCGACGCTTTGAGGAGCACTCAGGTGAGCTCGCTCGCGCGGAATGCGCCCGTGCAGCCCGCGGTTTTTCTGCAGCTGTTCCTTTCATATTATCGCGTTGTTCTTTTATGGGGGATCTACTCTGATTCGCCACAGGAGTAACTTCATCCCTGCCGCTGGCGCCGCGCAGTTTTTGTTTGGCGGCTGGCGCCGCGAGGGGCCAAAGTGCTTTCGGGGCGGAGCGAAGTCTGACATCTCCGATACATGTCGGAGCCAGGGCCGCTCTCGCAGCCAGGCGGTTTCCCCCATGTGAAAGGGGAAGTCGTTGAGCCTCCGCGTCTGCATTGTCCTACCAAATGCATTGTCCGACCGAAGGACTCGAACGGTAGTTCACCTGTCCCTTCTCACCTTTGCCCGTTGTCATGGTATCCCCTTGCCGCTGCCTTTTTGACTCTTGGGCGCGCAAGCTGGCCAAGCTTATGCGCCCGCCGTAGAGGCGCCTTCACGTATTTTCCTGGCGGCCAGAAATTATTCCGCCTCCACGAGGATTCTCAAAAGTACGCCGTGCACTTCCTTCATCACCAGCTCTAGTCTTTTTTCCTTGTTCATTCGCCTTGACAGGCGGGGTCCGCGAGGAGCATCGCAGAGGCCCGTGAGAGGTTTGTCGTAAGCCCGGCAAAGGTTTGTCAGAGGCCCGCCAGAGGCCCGCCAAAGGTTTGTCGCAGGCCCGACAAAGGCGTGACAGACGCCACCCAGAGACTTCGTAGGCATCCCAGAAGTTCGTCCGAGGCTCTTGAGTGGCTTTTCATAAGTTTCTGCGAAGCTCCGGACAGACAAGTCAGAAGCTCTGCGGAGGCCTGTCACAAGCCGTTCAGAGACAACGGAAGTGCTTCACAGGGGGCACCCGGAGGTTGTCCGCCGTCGCTCGGAGGTCTCCGAAAGTCTCTCTCGTACCGTTTTGCGGCCTTTGGGAGTCCGGAGGGAGATTTGAGAGAGCACACGGATAATTATGAGAGAGTGTTGACAGACTACTGGCAGAGTGTTGAGTGATCATTGCGAGAATATTGAGACAGGGTGCCGAAGGAGTTGCGATCACTCTGAGCGAATGTTGAGAGAGTTCAGAGCATCGAGTGAGCATTCGGAGACGTTCGAGAGAGAAAGAGAGAGTATTGATATAATTTTGAGTGAGCACGGAGAGAGCAGTTAGAGAGTTCGGAAAGAGCCTTGAGAGCGTGTTGGAACGGTAATCAGAGAGCCTCGAGAGCGATCTGACATAATATTGAAAGGGTTTTTTTGTTCAGAAGCCGTTCGGAAGGTTCAGTGATGCACAAAACATACTGACACGTGTGCGGGGGACACCGACAGGAAGCGCCGAAGAGGAGTTCAGACAGAAAGGCAGGGAACACCCCAGAAGCCCAGCAACAACCCAAATCTAATCAGGTGAGTCGCCCAAGGACGTTCCACCAACAGGTCTGACGTTGTTTCCAGGTTGGGCCGAGCGGAGTCGTTCTAGGACGCGGCCTCGCATCGGAGACGCGCGATAGCGGCTGCCTGTGGTGCATCGCTGTCTCTTTACTCCTCTCCGCAGCCACATGCGGGCCTTGCTCTTGCGCCTCCGAGTTGGCCCTGTTGCATCGGACATCTCCGCAGGGGGCTCCGCTGGGCCGCAGATATCTTGTAAATTCTGTGTTTCCGCCAGTGCCTCAGAAATCTGACCTGCACGGTTAGGGTTTACGTGCGGTTGCCTTCCCTCCCCTCTCTCCAAACAGTTACGCGGAAAAGCAGCAAATGGCGACGCCGGCGTGTCCAGATACGTCTCGGCGCGACACACATCCACATCCACGTCCTCGCGGCTTGGAGTGCTGGACCGCGATCGTGGATGCAGTCCGGCTTTGCGTGGGTGCGCTGCGCGGAATGTATCCTTGGAATCGCGTGTCCAGACCGCGAGGGCATGGACATGGATACGCTCGTCTCTCGTGATGTCAGGGCCCTCTCCCTCCGCGCCCAGACACTCGCGCCGACCAGTCCTTGGGGGACCTGCAGCGCTCCATCGTCAAACTGTCCCAGGCCATCAAGCACCTAGCCGTCCAGCCATGTGCCCTCCAGGACCTCGGTGGGGTCTGCGAGCTCGTTGTGTCCCCCCTTCAGTCTGCCATCCTCCCCAGTTCTCCGACGTCTCAGACAAGAGTTGCAGCTCTCAGCCGCTGGCAGCCGTTCATGAACCCCAGGGTCATGAACAAGAACAGTCTGCGGCGAACGTCACGGGGGCCGAGAGATCTAGGACCCGTGTATTGAAAGCCCCAGGGCGTCGAAGGGTTGGGTCATCTTCCTCGTGTACCTCCCGTCCGCCTCCTTCATCATCGTTCTTGCCCTCGCCCTCATGGCGACTCGTGCTTCTCGAGGATGAAATGCAGCTGAATCTCGACAGGGGTCAGGCCGAGTTTTGCAAGGGCGAAACGATGAAGGACCCGACCACCGAGTTGGACGCGGCTGGCCAGTACCACGCGGATAGCGAGCTGCAGAGCAATCGAGTGTTGCCCACCAATGGGATGAACAGCGTCCGCAGGTTGATTATGGCATCCGACCCGAGCCTTGGGATTTCATCCCCAGGACCTCGTCCTGGATTTCACGAACGAGTACTCGATCACGGACGTCATGGGTGATGACCCACGTGTGTGTCGAAGCGGTGCCGCGAGATGTTTCGGGGATCTTCAAGTAGATGTTGGTTGAAGCCGTCGTAGGCAGGAGCGCGAGGCGACTCATGATCTTCGACGTCGTCATTCACCCAGATATTACGCAATTCATGACATTTTCGCGTCGGCATCGCCCAGGGTGTCCTCGCCTGTTGCCGATCGACCTCAGGACCGACCTCCGGAATGATCGCCGAGCCACTGTAAACCATTCAGGCGATAACGATCGATACATTGTTTTTGGGCAACTGAGTCTCATCAGGAGGGAGACCCGCTGCATCTTGTTGCCAATTTTTTGCGACGTGTGCGATTGCGATTATGGTGTGTTGCTGGCGCACTTGGCACCTGTCTTGAAACGCAGCATGGACGAAACGCGGGGATGCGGGCACGTAGACGATTCACGCAACATCATGGGCCTTCAATTTCCGCTGATGATGTTTGCCGAGGTCGGTTCGCTCCGACATCCCCGCTAGCTTCTGCAGCACGGGATACCATTTCGGTAACACGCGCTGCCTTGTGGCCGCCGTCCTCGCCTTTTCCCTCTCCAGAGGCGGGGGGGGCAGTGTGTGAGAACAAACGAAACGTTGTGAAGGTTGCCCCTTCAGGATGCATTCTGATTGAGGATGTGCAGAGCGCGTTTCACGCTGAGATTCCAACACTGGACGAGGGCGGTGCATTTGCGATGGGATTGCCCAGGCACCTTTACAGTCGGACCGAGTATCAGATTGAGGTCGGTTCGGGGAGGGTGCCCTTGTGTCCCTCGCGTGTGTTGGATGTGATTGTGCATCTTGGGGGAGGGTACCCTCGAATGCTCTTCACTTAGGCCGGCAGAGGGTCTCATGTTCTTGGAGGATGTTCATTTGTCCTAGGTCCGACTGTAAGTTCGGCAACACGAGAAGTAGCGCCACCAACGAGTTGCCCCTCCCTCTCCGCCCTGTGTGCGCGCATTGCTCCCGCGTCCCGCTCTATACGCGCTTCCCTCGTGAGGTGTCGAGCGTGTTGCATGCAGTGCCTCACTGGTGAAAGTAAGGGGAAGAAGGCAAACTCGGAGTTTTCAACCATTTTGCTTCGAGCGATCCCCACCCAAGATCGCGAAACTGGATACCCAGGGATCACCAACACACTCAGGGCCTGGCGGCCGCGGTATGCAGCCGTCATTCGTCGACGGCGTGAGGCGGGATGCCCAGGACGTACGGGCACACGTTGGGCCTGGCGGCCGCGGTATGCGGCTTGCGCGAGGAGGGTCGGGAGCGCTTTTCTTTCAGTTGCAGCAGCCCCGCCTTGCCAGGTGGGGAACAAGCGGGGTTGGGGGGGTCTGTCGCGAGGGGTAGATGTTCGGGTTGGCTAGTTTATGAAGACCCCGACTTATCTGTTCCGCGTGTTTCACACTATTTTCTGGAAATTGCGAAGCTGCTTCTCGACCGCCCTCTCCAACTCCGTACGCGGACCTGGCCCCACTGGCTTGGCGGTGCGAGGAGGGGGCATGGCTCGCGTGAGGGGGTGGGTTCGGTGCGCGTGGTTGGCCCGGAGAGGGAGGTTGGACGGTGTTCGTGAAGCACAGAGGAGTACCAATGCGGGGCCGCCTGCGACCCGATTCGGTGCGATTCGATTCGCCGTCTGGGTCTGCGATTCTGGCTCCATTCGCTTCGAGGCGGTGCGATTCATTGGCATCGGCCTGGGCCTGCCGGAGCCATGTGCGGCGGTCCGATGTCGGTTCGGTTCGTGGGAGATCCGAGCCGTTTCCAATCCGATCCGCTCTCGCGAGTCGATCGAGGTCAGGCTGCCGATGCTGGTCTTCGCCCTTCTGGAGGAGTCCTGGGGTGCCGTCGCCGCCGCGGCTGAGTCTTCTGGGGAGCAGCGACGTCGAAATTGGCCCCGCCACACACAGACTCTGGGGTCCCTTCGACGGGCACGAGATTTTCCCGTTCCTCACGACTCGTCGGTGCAGTGTTGATCCCCTCGAGGGTAGGCATAGCTTTTCGGGTGTACGTCGGGCGGGGCTCAAGTATTCTCCCATGGATGGCCTTCGGTGCTGGTGAATGCTGGAAAATTGCACCTTCTGATGATCCTGGCACGCGCGCCATCGCACCTGCGATGGGCGGTTAGCATGTTGGCATGCTCACTCCGCACACATTGTGGCAACCGCCTCCGCCCTTCAGTTCATGCCGCCCCGCTCGTGGAGCAGGAGCTCCCCGCCCCCCTCTGCCGCCCCCCTCCGTCCTCGCGCAGGAGGTGCTGCACACGCCCCTCCCCCTCGGCTCTTCGCGCCGGGTCCCGGGGTCCTCGAGTCAGCGGTCGGCCTGGCCCCGCTCCGCCTTCCCCCCCTCGGGCCCTTTGGGGTCGAGGGGGGCGGCCAGCGGGTGCTTGGGCCCCCGCTGATCTCGACCTTGGGCCTCCTCGAGTCCAGACGGTATTCGCTGGAGGGCGCCAGCTGGCGCACCTGCACTGGTCTTGGCCGGGCGGGCCCAGGATCTTTGTGCACACCCTCTTGCAGTCGACGGGGAGGCACTCAGTGACAGCCACGCCGATCCTGTGCCCAAGATGGGCCCTGGGCAGGGCCGTACTGCTGGCGCCCTCCAGCTCCAGATCTGTACTGCAGCCAGGCGGGGAGCTCTCCTGCCGCACCCCAGCTCCCCCGCAGGGAGGGCGCGAAGACGACCGCGCTCCGCGCAGCACGGCCCGGGGCCTCGGAGCTGCCCCTCTCCGGGGGAGGATGCGAGGGCGAGGGGGTGATCGCGCGCAGCGCCGCGGCTCGCGGAGCGCCCTCTCGCGCAGTGCTCGGGGGCCTCGAGACGGGGGTCCATGCAAACAGGGGTCAGCCGGAGCCCCAGGCCTTGCAGCATCCTGCAGGGCCAGGGTTGCACTGGACCCAGGGCGTGGCTGCAGGATCCTGCAAGGCTTTGCGGGCCCCTGCAAGGCCTGCCTGGCCCGGGCTCGCACCGGACCCGGGGCGGTGCGCCCCCGAAGCGCTCCGCCCGCCCAGCCCCCCGCCGAGGACCCCGCCAAGGCTGCTCCGCTCGGCGCGGAGCCGTACGGCGAGCCCGCCGACCCCTCGCGCCGCGCCCCCTCTCTCTGGGGGCCAGTCTGGGGGCGGAGCGCTCCCGCCCCTGGGGCCGCCGCGTCCTGCCCCACCCGGTGCGGCCGAAGAGGGTACAGTCAACCCGCACAGTGAGGACGAGCGACGCTATCCAAGGTTACCCTTGCATGCTTGCCCCGTCGGCCCATCATTTGCGACTTTCGCTGGCCAGCCTCATTCGAAAGACGTCAACGTGGCCCTCCAAGGCCCTTGCACGCTTCCCGCGCATCCTTCTTATACGGGCTGACTGTGCGGAAAGAGTGGGTGCGCTGACCGAGAGCACTTCTTGTACATTTTGAACAGAGTTGGTTGTCTTCGTCGCCGCGGACGCTGACCCTCTGGGACACGCGTCACCTGCCCAACAGCGGCATCGGGCGTCGTGCGGTCACCCAGAATAGCAAGGATGAGCGACTTTCCAAGGCTACCCTTGCATCCTTCCCCATCGACCCATCCCTGGCCACTCTCGCTGGCCGCACCCCGCTCGCAAAGTGCCGACATGGCCTTCCAAGGCCCTTGCATCCTTATCGTGCGTCCTTCTTATGCGGGTTGACTGTACGCACCCACTTTGGGCGTGCTGGCTCAAGGCCTCCCAGATGAGGCCGCCGCGAACGGGGTCGGAGGATCGCACGGCATCGCCGATGCAACGGCGATGCGGTGCGATGCGGAGCTTGTTGTTCTCAATCTCGCCGTCGTCAATGCATCGGTGGTGCGTCGCGACCGCCCGTTTTCATTTACTCCAGCCCCATCTGGCCCCATTTTGGGGAGGCCTCCACGCCTCCACGTGGAAGGGCGCGCGCGCCAAGAAATGTGGAGGGCGGCGGGGATGCGGCGCCATGGTGTCGGCCAGTCGAGCTGGGCACGCGGCCGCAACAGTCCCGATCGTTCACCGCCGCCAGTCCAGAAGCCAATTCCTGTCGCCCTGTCCCTCGTGCGCTGCACACTTGCTAGAGCCTAAGGCTTGCCATCGCTCAGACGTGTGCCTGTTCTCTCGGCGAGGACCATCGAGAAGCATCGAACCGTCAACGCACGACGCCGAACAGCGCACGGGGGATGGACGTCCGAGCGATGGCAAGACAGAACATCACGGAATGTGGGCTCCTCCAGCTCCAGCCTTCCTGAAGACCTGGAGCCTTTTTGGGGCCCTTTGCCATCTCATGAGTCTACTGCAAGTGGCGCTCTCTCTCTGCCTGAGGAAGTTGAATCCTCGACCCTCGAATTCCCTCAAGGACCCCTCCGGGCAAGAGGAACAATGTAAGAAGTAAAGCAACACATATACGTTGACGCGCGTGGACCCCGAACAGTGAGTCCTTGCATGCAATCTATGTGGCGTAACTTGTGTGGTACATTTTGCGCAGTGCAATTAGTTTATGTCAACTGATTAGTTGTCAACTTCACTGCTCGCGCAATCATCCCACTCTCCCACCCGCAACGTTCTTGGCAAGACCTATGTGCCCACGAAAGCGGTTGCCAACTGGCATTTGCTAGCGCATATGTGTGGCCGGGCTGGCGCGCGAACGCTTGCGTGCAGGACGACCAGCTGGTTTGGAGCCGCTGATGCGGCCGCGGAGGCGCTTGCCGATGGGAGTCTCCCAGCGCGTTTCAGTGCGGGTCGGTGACCCGGGCGGGCGCAGTTTCATGATGACGTCAACAAGGGCGGCAACGATGGTGATAGTAGTGATGGTGATGGCGATGACGAACCCAAGGTAAATAGCGGCGCCGATGCTGGGGAAGGCGATGACTATGATGATGTCCACGTGCCGATGATGAAGATGATTGTGTTGATGATGTCGGCAATGGAGGCGGTTGACAGTGACGATGTCGGCGGTGATGCGATGGCGGAGATTAGGGTAATGGAAGGGAAGTGCGCGCACGCGCTGAAGTTCAATAGACTTGACAG